GGTCCATAAGAGGCGTGAATTTTTTAAAAAAACATTTTTGGGGGTCCATAAGAGGCGTGGATTTTTTAAAAAATATTTTTGGGGGTCTATAAGAGGCGTGGATTTTTTAAAAAATATTTTTGGGGGCCCATAAGAGGCGTGAATTTTTTAAAAAAATATTTTTGGGAGTCTATAAGAAGCGTGAATTTTTTAAAAAAATATTTTTGGGGTCCATAAGAGGCTCGGATTTTTAAAAAAAAAATATTTTTGGGGGCCCATAAGAAGATCTAGTCGAGGCGTGGATTTTTAAAAAAATATTTTTGTGGCTCTAGTCGAGGCTTGGATTTTTTTAAAAAATATTTTTGGGGGTCCATAAGAGGCGTGGATTTTTTAAAAAATATTTTTGGGGGTCCATAAGAGGCGTGGATTTTTTAAAAAATATTTTTGGGGGTCCATAAGAGGCGTGGATTTTTTAAAAAATATTTTTGGGGGTCCATAAGAGGCGTGGATTTTTTAAAAATTATTTTTGGGGCTCTAGTCGAGGCTTGGATTTTTTAAAAATTATTTTTGGGGCTCTAGTCGAGGCGTGGATTTTTTAAAAATTATTTTTGGGGCTCTAGTCGAGGCATGGATTTTTTAAAAATTATTTTTGGGGCTCTAGTCGAGGCGTGGATTTTTTAAAAATTATTTTTGCGGCTCTAGTCGAGGCGTGGATTTTTTAAAAATTATTTTTGAGGCTCTGGTCGAGGCGTGGATTTTTTAAAAAATTATTTTTGCGGCTCTTGTCGAGGCGTGGATTTTTTAAAAAATTATTTTTGCGGCTCTTGTCGAGGCGTGGAGTTTTTAAAAAATTATTTTTGCGGCTCTTGTCGAGGCGTGGATTTTTTAAAAAATTATTTTTGCGGCTCTTGTCGAGGCGTGGATTTTTTAAAAAATTATTTGTGCGGCTCTTGTCGAGGCGTGGATTTTTTAAAAAAATTATTTTTGCGGCTCTTGTCGAGGCGTGGATTTTAAAAAAATGAGGACCCTTAAAATAATCCACGGCTTGTTGAGGACCCTTAAAAATTCCACGCCTTGTTGAGGACCCTTAAAAATTCCACGCCTTGTAGAGGACCCTTAAAAAGATCCACGCCTTGTTATGGACCCTTAAACAAATCCACGCCTTGTTTAGGACCCTTAAAATTTTTTTTTAAAAAATCCACGCCTAGTAGAGGACCCTTAAAATTAGACCCCTAAAATATTAATTTTTAAATTTTGTTGAGGACCCCCAAAATATTTTTTTTTAAATATCCTAAAATTAATTTCGTATTTTTTTCTTTCATTTCCAGAATCCCTGACCAACCCCGGCTATTATCGTTTGGCCCGCTACATACGAGGTGATACCTATTTGGATTCGAATCGTTTGGGTGGAAACTCTCCCTCTTCGCATCCGGCTGCCACAGGCCGCAGAATATCCCACATTCCAATGTACCGAGCCGATATGTCAATGGGTGCCGGACAATTGTATCCACCAATTGATATACCCAATTTCAATTTACCCTCCACGGCACGCAGTTTCGATGACACCCCCTCGACATCAAGTGAAGAATTGGAATCGAAACAAACTTTGGAAGGCGATGGAGATTTGAAATATGAAGATGTCTATTTGCCCACCATTCACATTCGCCCATTGGAGGATGATCTCGAATTGGAGTTGCACACCGATGGTCTGATTGATGGTGAAGCTAAGGCCCTACTCAGCGATGGCATTGAACGTTGTGCTCCCGGCAAGAGGCGGGATAGTTATGGAGTATGCCGTGAAATTGAGGGATACTAAAAGGGGGAGGAGAATATTTCGGAGGAGGAGGTTTTCTTTTTTAAGGTTTGAACTGACCAAACCATGACTGTTTATTTAGGATCTTTAATTTTTAGTATATAAGTTTAAATAAATTTATTTTTAATAATTTTTAGAAAAATAGGTTAATTTTTTTAATTTTTTTTTTAATTTTAAATATTTTTAATTTTTAAGGGCAATTTATTTACTCCACTATTGGAGACAATTTTGATATGGTTATACTAAACATATTATAAAATATTTATTTATAAGATTTTATTTTCCAATTTAAATAAATTTTAAAAAACAAAAAAAAAAAATATTTATTTAAAAAATATCTTAAGGGTCCTGATTTTTTAAATTTTTTTGGACATTTTTTAAAAAGGCGTGGATTATTAAAATATTTTTTGGGTGCTCTACATAAGGCGTAGGTTTTTTTTATACCCTTCACCATTATTAGATTTGTTTTTCCGTTTGTAACTCATCGAAATAATCATTTCCGACCGTAAAATTCTATGACGATCTGATCATGTCCGTCTGTCCGTTGTAATCACTCTAGCGTCTTAACGAATTGAGATAGTACGCCAAAATTTTGCATGAAGTCGTCTTTTGTCTGCAGGCAGTTCAAGTTCGATGATGGGCTATATCGGTCCCCGTTTAGGCATAGCTCCCATGTAAGGGTACCCCCCAAATTTCGGTATTTTGGGGTTCTTGAGCGCGTTTTTCAACCGAATTCGCTGAAATTTGGTACATTGGGTTCTTATTGGGTACCAAATATATCCGCTAAAAATTATAAATATAAGTCAATTTATTCTGGTAGCTCCCATATAAGGATACCCCCCAATTTTCATTATTTTGGGGTTCTTGAGCGCGTTTTTCAACCGAATTCGCTGAAATTTGGTACATTGGGTTCTTATTGGGTACCAAATATCTGCGCTAAAAGTTATAAATACAAGTCAATTTTCGGTATTTTGGGTTTGTTTAGCGCGCTTTTAAACCGAATTCGCTGCAATTTGGTATTTTGTAGTCGTATGTGGTAACAAATCTACCTACCAACAATTTTTAATATTAGGGGTCGTCCCCTTATAACCCCCTTTTTATACCCTTCACCACACTGTGGTACAGGGTATTATGTCTTTGTGTATATGTTTGTAACAGGCAAAAGGAATCGAGATAGACTCATGGTTTCTTTTGAGAATATGCATAGAATCACTTTCTGGGTCGATTTATGCATGTCCGTCCGTCCGTCTGTTGATGTTAAATTATAAACAAAGTACAGGTCGCATTTATGATCCGAATGGGATGAAATTTGGCATTGGTCACTTATTTGGCCCAAGGAAAAACCCTATTGAAATTGGGAAAAATCGGTTCAGATTTAGATATAGCTCCCATATATATTTTCGTCCGATTTAAGGTAAGTGGGACATAAAAGTTCCTATATAACTTTCGATTTGCACGAATTTTGGCATAACGTACTGAATTTAGACTAGAGTGATGTCTACCAAGTTTCGTGGAAATCGGTCCAGATTTAGATATAGCTCCCATATATATTTTCGTCCGATTTAATGTAAATGGTGTGCCAAAGTCCCTATATATCTTTCGATTTGCACGAAATTTGGCATACGGTACTGAATTAGGTCCAGAATGATGTGCGCTAAGTTTCGTGAAAATCGGTTCAAATTTATATATAGCTCCCATATATATCTTCGTCCGATTTAGGGTTAATTGTGTACCAAAGTCTCTATATATCTTTCGATTTGCACGAAATTTGGCACAACGTACTGAATTGAGACTAGAGTGATGTCTGCCAAGTTTCGTTATAATCGGTTCAGATTTAGATATAGCTCCCATATATAGTTTCGCCCGATTTAAGGTAAATGGTGCGCTAAAGTCCCTAAATATCTTTCGACTTGCTCCAAATTTGATGTCTAGAATGATGTCTGCCAAGTTTCGTAGAAATCGGTCCAGATTTAGATATAGCTCCCATATATTGTTTCGTCCGATTTTAGGTAAATGGTGCACCAAAGTCCCTTTATATCATTCGATTTGCACGAATTTTGGTATAGCGTGTTAAATTAAGTCTAGAATGATGTGTGCAAAGTTTCATGAAAATCGGTTCAAATTTAGATATAGCTCCCATATATATTTTCATCCGATTTTATGTAAATGGTGCACCAAAGTCCCCAAATATCTTTCGATTTGCACGAAAGTTGGCACAGCGTACTGAATTAGGCCTAGAATGACGTGAAAATCGGTCGAGATTTAGATATAGCTCCTATATATTGTTTCGTCCGATTTTAGGTAAATGGTGCACCAAAGTCCCTATATATCATTCGATTTGCACGAAATTTGGCATAGCGTAATGAATTAGGTCTAGAATGTTGTGTGCTAAGTTTTCTGAAAATCGGTTCCGATTTAGATATAGCTCCCATATATATTTTCATCCGATTTAATGTAATTTGTATACCAAGGTCAATATATATCTTTCGATTTGCCCGAAATTTTGCATAGCGTACTGAATTAAGTCTAGAATGTTGTGTGCTAAGTTTCCTGAAAATAGGTTGAGATTTAGATATAGCTCCCATATATATTTTCGGCCGATTTTACGTTCACCAAGGAGCCTACGTCTGTTCCATATACACGAGATAAAATAGTGGACGGCGCTTTGTGCTGCAATATACCAAATATGCCACCTTTGCTCAATTAGGTCCCGATTTACATACATACACACTTTTATACGGTTTTATAGAAATGGTACCGCAAAGAATCCAAGTATATGGGGTTTTGTAATAGGTTCAAATATCTATGTAAATCACAAATTTAATTTCACCCGATTCCGTATCCAAGGTCCTCTACTACTGTTCTGTTACAGTATATTGCATATATTATTTTTGGGGCCTCTACATAAGGCGTGGATTTTTTAAAAATTATTTTTGGGGCCTCTACATAAGGCGTGGATTTTTTAAAAATTATTTTTGGGGCCTCTACATAAGGCGTGGATTTTTTAAAAATTATTTTTGGGGCCTCTACATAAGGCGTGGATTTTTTAAAAATTATTTTTGGGGCCTCTACATAAGGCGTGGATTTTTTAAAAATTATTTTTGGGGCCTCTACATAAGGCGTGGATTTTTTAAAAATTATTTTTGGGGCCTCTACATAAGGCGTGGATTTTTTAAAAATTATTTTTGGGGCCTCTACTTAAGGCGTAGATTTTTTTTGCTTGACCTTCAACTTTCTTTGTTAAAATCTTTGTGTAAAAAAAATTATACCATCTTAAGAGATTATTTATTAAAAAAAAAATTAAAATAATTAAATATTTCTGTTTTTTGGTTGGTTTGGTATATAAATTAGCCTAACGAAAGAAATGAATACAAATTTGTTGTATTTATATTAGAATTACAATTTATAATGACAACAAATTTGTTGTTGTTTCAAAAGATGCGGTTGAATGCTTCGCTGATTTTTTTATTGTCTTCTGGATACTTCTATAATTTTTTTTGTGGCTATTAAATTAATTAAAAATAGAATTAAATAAATTCGGAATATTTCTATACGGTTAGGGAGAAAATGATTTTTATAAAAAAAGAACAATCGACCCACCCCAATGTTTATGGCCTTTATATCCCCTTTAGGCTTATTAAATGCACATCTCAAAAAAAAAAATTATGATGTACCGAAGACACAAAGGCATGCAGCAGGAGCTATAATCAGCTTTGTTCTCCAAGCTAACACCAAAAAAAGAAAAAATTGTTGTCCCGAGAAAAAATCCACAACAACAAAGAAGAAGAATTCAATTTTAAGTTTCCACCAAACAACAAAAAAATAGAGGTCCTGCTATGGGCAAAAAAAAAAAAACATGACCAGCAATTATTTTCTTCTTCTTCTGAGCGCACTTCGCTTAGCTTCTTTCTTCTTCTTTTGTTCTTTATCAGACGTGATGGGGACAACAACAGGTTAGCAACACCAGGCAAATTTCTTGGCAATCGAATTTTGTGATATAAAACACCCGAAAGAACCCGTTGCATTTCCGGTTTTCGTGAAAGAAGACAGGCAGGGTGGCTGGCTGGCGAACGATATGACTTAGTCAAGCAAAAAAAATAAAACCAAAAACAGTTAAGAGAAACTGCATGCGGACAACTGTTGCCAGTAATAAAAATCATTAGTCTGATTGATAAGTTTTTGTTTATTTATCTCACGAGCTGGGTACGAGTCATTGAACTTGAAAATCGCACAGGCATAAATAAAATTTTTATGGGACATAAATGCCAAAAAATGCTTAAAAATCCACGCCTTATGGTAGACACTTAAAAATTATTTTTCACAAAAAAAAAAAAAAAAAAAATCCACGCCTTATGGTAGACCCTTAAAAATAATTTTTCAAAAAAAAAAAAATCCACGCCTTATGGTAGACCCTTAAAAATAATTTAAAAAAAATCCACGCCTTATGGTAGACCCTTAAAAATAATTTTTCAAAAAAAAAAAAAAATTCACGCCTTATGGTAGACCCTTAAAAATAATTTTTCAAAAAATCTTATATAGATGGCCAAAAATATATTTTAAACCGGTGAGAAGAACACTACAGTAAGACGGGGCCGATCATACGATACCCTACACACCTACCACGGAACTCTAACTTTCTTACTTACTTAGCTGGCTTGCGACAGAACATTCGTTCCATAAGCCGAACTAATAAACGATTTCAAGGCGCGTCGGTCTTTTGCGCAGTTTTTCCAATTTGAAAGATAATTTTCGGCGATGTTGACTTCGATTTGATCCTTCCAACGTATTCTTGGCCTTCCCCTTCTCGCGATATTCATCGTCAACGCAGATCGGCCCATAGATCTTTAAGAGAATTTTTCTTTCAAAAACACTCCAACATCCATATAACAGCACAGGTAGTAAGTCTAACAATGTCGATGTGTCGATGGTTCATTCGACGGCGATATTCACCATCAACGCAGATCGACCCATAGATCTTTCGCAGAATTTTTCTTGAATTTCAAAAAC